CTGGAAGAGAACCATACATTTTTCCTCATGAACTGTAATCTGTTGCTGCCTTGGGAGACATGAAAAGCAGTAAACAAACATAGAATATATCAGGGATGCTAAGGGCTATAAAGGAAAAAAGATGTAGGGTAATTGGACCAGATAGTGTTGGTAAGGAGTACAGAGAAACCTTATCTGATTTTGAATAGACATTAGGAGGAATTGAGGACGAAGGTATGATATTACATGGAAACACATTCCAGAAGAAGAACAGCTTGTTCAAGATTGAGGTAGGATAATGCACCCAAAGTAGTGTTGCTAGAAAAAAAATGAGATGGAAAGAGGTGAGGTATAAGGAGGTGAGGTCAGGCAGTCATTTGAAAAACTATGTAGAGTTCTGTGTGGAAGAGTGGTTGAACCTGAGGCACATTTTTAAAAGATAACTCTGGCTGCACTATGGAGCAGGGAAGCCAGTTCAGTAAGCATTCAGGAGTTCAAGAAAAAATGGTATGGAACTGGATGGTGGCAGTGGAGTGGTGAACTGGCAGTAGACAGTGAGAGAAACAGATAAATCAAGAATGCTACCAAAATGTTCTCCTAAACTACTGAAAGACTGACTGAGCAAGAGTGCAAATGGAACATGCCTGAATGAGAAAATTGGGAATTTGGTTTTGAATACATTAGGGTTGATTTTTGCCTTTAAATATACAATGGAAATGTTGAATAACCAGTTTTCTATACCCTGAGATGAGGTTAGGAGTCAGAATCGGAGTTTTCAACATAGACATGGTATTTAAGGCTCAAAGCTGAAATAGCCTAACTGAAGATTCCGAGAAAGCCCAAGAACCAGTCCTGGACCACTCCTACATTGGAAGGTTGTGACAGGAGGAAGAACAGTACATCAGTGATGGAAAAGAAGCTTAACCCAAGAGAGCATGGGTCCTGGAAGCCAAGTAGCATTTCGAAGGAGGTAATGGTGAACGGTGTTAATGCTCTGCTGGGATGATAGGTCAAGCAAGATGAAAGCTAAGAATTGGTCATAGGATTTGGCAATGGGGAATCCACTCTAATCTTTCCCTTTCCCCCAGATTATTGAGGTATAATTAACATACAAAATTGCATATATTTAAGGCATACAGTGTGATTATTTGTTACTTGTTTGACAAAATGTTTACCAAAATAAACATTTTAATGAACAAAGGTTCATTAAAACAACTTTTACCCTATATAATTATCATTTTATTATTATAGTGGTGGTAAAAACATTAAAACATTACTCTCATAGTGACTTTCAAGTATATAATTCCAAATTTTTACCTATGGTTACCACACTATATATTAGATCCTGGAATTTATTTAACATATAACCAAAAGATTGTACCCTTTACCAATATCTCCTTATCCCACCACTGTGCTCTTACTAGAGGGGTATAAAACTTCAGAATGACAAAGAAAGCCCCACAAATGAATTCAAAGAGAAGGTGGGGAGAATTGGAGAGAGCAGGTTTGGACAGCTCTCTCAAGGACTTCTGCTGTAAAGAGTAGTGAGAAACAGAAGATGAGAAATATTATACCATGTATGCATAGGCATGCACTATAAACTATTTAATAGAGAGGCGGAAAACTGATGTTGCAAGAGATAGTGGGGACAAGACTTAAAACTAAGAAAGACTCCAGTAAGGTATATCTGCTGTGGTTCCATTGGGATTAAATAATTAACATTTGTCTGGGGAAGTAAATTTATTCATGTTATTTCTTCTCTCTGTATGTGCATACCAAAAAGCTGTTATATATGCATGCTTTTAAGAAAAATATTTTTATTGGAGCCATAATAGAACCAATGAAAATTAAATGGCTTAAACTGCCATAGTTATTTCTTGACTAGTCTCTTCCACATTCCTCCCTTTAAAGATTGTAAATATTCTTGTGGCCCTTAATTTCAGCTAAAAAAATTCATGTTGTGAGATTAATGACAAAATGTCTCTCCTACTGTAGTATTTGGATTTACTGAAATATTTTAGGAAAAAATGATATGAGAGATCTGATTCGCAGTAATCTATTTGGGAAAAGGAGCTGAACTAGGTAGGTGAGGCATTGTCAGCCTTGAGTTGATGGTTGATGAAGCTGGGTAATAGATGTATGGTTGGTTTTTTATGGAATTCACTCTGTTTTAGAATGTGTTTGAAATTCTCCATGATAAAAAGTTAAAAAATTATACTAAATCAATACCAGGCTTAACCTAAAGGAATCCATTAAATGGTGAAATTGCAGACAATTTGGTAACAGGTGAAGGAGTATGGAGGGACAAGAATTTTCTGGTATTTCTCAAATCATATCAGCTACTTTGCTTTCATATTTAGCATAGATGACTTTCTAACTGATCAGGACATGTCTCAGTTGCTTTAAGATGGGACTAATTTGGATGCTTATTTACTGTGGCAATAATTTGGAAGGCTGGCTTTCAAAAAAATGAAATCTTGTTTCTCTTAAATATTATCTCACTTTAGGTAAGCATAAAAATTTCTGAGAACACCTAGGTCATGAATTAACTCTTGAGATAAAGCAGTACTACAGTTGATAGCCATGTTAATCTAGTTGATTATTATTAAAAAAAATTAGTGATTTATGTACAGAAGGTGAAATTTCATTGCAATAACAGGTGCTTCTTTTTAAAGAGAAATGGTAATTTCTGAATATTTTTTGCTCTTAGATTACTATGTAATAATGCAGGTAAAAAAGATTTTTAACCATTGAAAACTGGCAAATATAAAAATGCAGTGTTGCTTCATTAACCCTTCAAATATTAACCACTAGGTATTCTTTAGTGTCTGTCAGTTACTCATTAACTTTTATATGGTGTTATTGTTTCTCTAATTGTCAGTAATTTCCACCAGGGGAGGTTGAAAAACAAACTCCAATAATTTTTTTCTAGATCAGGAAAATATTCAGATTTTATTAATAATATCTTTTCTGCTCACTGTATGTTCATTATTAAAAATTGACTTTGTATTTGGAACCTGTAAAATCTACTTCAAATATTAAGCCCAAAGTTAGTTGTGCAGTTTATGGTTTCTTTGTATGGCTTTATTGCCCTCACCATTTCCTTGGTGTAAACTACTGAGCAAGGGAACAAGATTTCCTTTGTAACTGATACCTAAATTTCTTTTCTCCTTTAAGCATCTAATTTGCACTGTGAAGACATATAATTTGAGACTTGTAGCTATATCACCAAAGTCCAACAGTTTACGCAGATCTCTAATTTTCTGAGTTGTACTGGCTATAATTTAAATTTTTTGCATGTTTTTAACTGGTCTGCAATGCAGACCAGTATACATCAGAAGCCTTTGTATATTGACAGAGACTGGGAAAAGGATGCCTTGTTCTGATTTCAGATAAGCTTTCCCTTTTTAAAACTGCAGGTGCAGAGAGAGCCCATTCATAACAGTTATAGTCACTGAAAGGAAATAAAATGTTATTACATGAGAACTTGACTAATCTTCACAAGCACAATGAATATTTAAATATGTATTATTACTAGCAAACTCTAGAGGGAAATGGTACTTTTTCCTTTGTCCCAGTATTGGAAGTAAAATATCCTCTGTTAACAAGTTTTGGTCATTTTAGTCATGTGCCTATGTTGATTAAATCTAGAAAAATAGTGTCAGTTATTAACACAGGATGGAATTATGCTTCATGAAAAGTCTGCTGAAACAAAATGCATGTTTCATATGAGGCCTTTAATATTGAATGTGACTTTTTTTCTTTGTCATTTCACTTACTTTAAAATTGACAGTTAAGCCCCCCAAATTATCACAAGATACAAACTGGGTAAATCTCCTTGAAATAGATATTAGACAACTACATATGCAACTATTTGTTGATGCTGGCTAGATGTTTCTGTTACAAATCCTGTTTATAAGGTAAACTACTTGACAGTTTTAACTGGTGTCAGGCAGAAACTTGGCACATCAATTCAAAGTATAGTAGTAAATTTTAGTCAACAAAATAATGATAACTTTCCTTGAGCTGGAGAGGTCAAAGAAAGGCTCTAAAATAATTTAAAGGCAAGATGATATATATGTCAATGATCACTGCATTGGTAAAACCAAATGGTCTATATTTAAAACCAATAAGTTCTCGTTCTAAATTGATGAGTATTACTATTACATTATATTTTACTGCTTGCTAACAATCTAGTGCTGTCACCCTACAATTGCTTATAATTCAAACACCTTTTTATCAGTTATTTGACTTGAACTGTTCTTTGTGATTTAGTGAGGACAAATATAATCCTCATTTCACAGATGAGAACAATAAACTTTATAAGGAAATGTCCTTTCCAAATAAGGCAATTCTGACATAAGTAGCCTTCCTGGACCAAAAGCTGTGAATTCTAGTCCAGGATTGTGTCCCAAGGTCTCAGTCTTAGGGATTGAATTCAGTGAAGGATCGGTTAGCAAAGAATATTTTTAATTAAAAAAAAGGTGACTTAAGAGTAATTCATTCATACTGAACACTGTGATAGAAGACTCTATGTGCAAACATTCTTTTTTCCCCCATGGACTCAAAAACCAGAAGATGGGCCCCATCACACCAATTAATCTGGAGCCTGGAATCAAATGCAGGTTGTTAATGGACCTAAATTCTAAAAAAGGTGGGTTGCATCTTCATGGAGCCCTTCAAGGATGATGTTTTTAAGTATGGTGCATAACCCCTAAATTGACTTCTGTAAATTCAACCCCCAACCAACTTCTTTCTATTAATATTCCCTAACACCAAGGAACAACACAGAGGGTCTCCTCGTACAAATTAGTTGTTGCTGCCATTCCGGGATGGAAAAACTTGACACCTGGCCGCCCTCAGGTTGCCTGCGGAGGAAGATACTGCCACAAACCAACCCTTCTGAAGATCTCAAGGCAGAGCAAGGCCGACTCCGGACCACCTACCTGGTCGGGGTGCTCTTCAAGACAGGCCAGACCTTTGGGGTAGAGAAGAAAACAAAAGGAAACAAAACAACTTACCACTTTGGCCCAGTCCAAGAACAACTGAAAACACCCAGGCCGCCCGGAGCAATGGGGCAGGACCCCGCCGGCAGTTTTGCAGGCAGACAAATGCAGCAGTAAAAAAAGCCTGGGCCAAGCGGCACATAATGTAAAGCAGCCCGCACCGCGCTCACAGCCTGGCTGTTATCCGGATGCGCACTCGCGCCTCCCTGGCACCTGGAGCCCGGCGCTAGGAAGTTTTCCGCAGGCGGGGCAGGAGGACGCCGCGCTTCGGAACAAGTGGTGCAGGTACGCGGACCGGGGCACCGCTCGGCATCTCAGGGCCCCAGCGGCCCTCCCAGTTCGCGCGGCGGGTCCCGGGATCTCCGCTAGAAGCACCTCCCTGGACGGCCAATGGCCCGAGGCGGCGACGCGAGCGAGGGCTCTGCAGTTCGCTCTGGGACGAAGAAAGGAGCTTTTGTTTCTTTCCAGTCGGTGGGGCTTCTGCTGCATAAATCAGCTTAGCGAACAGCCAAACACAAACAAAGCCCGAGGCTGGGGGGGAAAACCAGCCTAGATCTACATTCACTGGGCGATGCTATATCTGTGGGAGGGGACGCCGGCAAGATCGAAGGGGATAAAAGTCGATGGCGCATCAGTCAGCATGAGCTATTTCCACAGGTGGGCAGGGAGGCCAGCTCTACTTAGTTGTAGTTTTGCAATCTCGTCCGCTGAGAAGCGGGCAAAGTCGAAGCGGCAGGTCTTGGCCGACGAGGGAGGAAGCTCTCGGTGCCAGCAGCCGGGGGAGGCGGCTCCCTGAGTGTCCTAGAAGCCCCTGCCGGAGCCCGCAGACCCGGAGCGAGGCATCGCAGCTCCCTGCTCGGCGGGAGTGGAGCGCACCGCCGCGAGCGCGGGAGGGGCGTTCCGCTAGGGTGCAGGAGCCGGGTCTCGGGGGGCGGGAGCTTCTTGCCCCGGTCCTTTTGGCCCCAGTGAGCGACGCGGGCGTCCCGCCGTCCAGAGCCCGAGCAGCTGGCGTGCTCGGGGGCGCACCCGGCTAGGATGCGAAGGAAGCGAGTCCGCCGAGGGCCGGGGAGGAGGAGTACTGCCCGGGCCTGTTGGGCGGGGGTGGGGGGCTCCCAAAGTGCGGGGTAGGTGGGCTCGTTCTGGGCCCGGAGTTGCTAGGAAACCGCCCCACGCTACGGAGCGCCTAGCCTCCGCCGCCTAAGCGCCGCGGTGGCTCGGAGGCAGCAATAGCGTGGGCGGGACATTGGTGAGGCATGAAGTCACCGCAACCCACACTCGCTCTTTGTTTTGCTCACTCCAGCTCTTTTTCTCCCCTTTGGCTCTGGTAGTTGCCGTTCCCATCGTTCACAAGAAGTCCCGATGCGTAGCCGCGCTACCGGAATCGCACGCCCTATTCCTTCTCACCCCCCCGCCCCCCCCCCACCTTCCGGAATCCTTGCACCCCAACGTTCGGTGAGGGTGTGGAGATTCGCTCAGCTCGAGTGGCAAACCCTAGTCTCCCACCCGGGCGCTGCGCTCTTCTTTGTTCAGATACTCACTGCCCCGCAGGCTGCCGCATACAAAGTGTGGTCCGGGGCCTCTCCTTGTTCCCAATACCCTCTGTTCAGCAGGGGCGCACTGTCCACTTTGATTGCAGAGTTGGGAGCCTACCCTTTGCCCCACCCCCAAGTCGTCCGGGGTCTCCCCAACCCTTGGAGAGTTGGGTGAGTTCGCGGAGTCTCTACCCCGAGCTGCTGGCTGAGATTTCTCGCGGCTCCTTCGCTCACATCCTCTGTCCTGGGCTGGAGAACCCTGCTCTTTACAGAGTCTGGTGGAGTCTCCTGGCTTTTGTTAATTACTGTGTGTCTTTGACCTTCTCAATAAACAATAAACGGAACAAAGAAGTTACGTAGGTCGGCTAAACCGGGAGAAACAGAAAGCAGCTAAGGAGAGAAGGTGAGAAGGTATTTCTGCCGCTTGCAGTTTAGAAATTTAGGTGCAAGCGGGGGGTGGGCATTTTGCTGGGCGACTGTCGGGGAAGCCGCCTATCTCCTGGGGTCCTGTCACTACCAAACTAGGCTGACGGAGGGAAATCAAGGCAGTTTCTAATGAGACACAAGGGTGATAGTTCTCTTTTTTTCCTCTAGGGGCAGGAGTGGTTCCCTGTGATGATGTCTGACCTCTCTTTTTTCCACTGGCAGTCTGCGAACCTTTTTCACGTAGCACCCGCCTCTCACAGGCATCAGTCCAGTACAGCCAGGTCAAGGTGAAATATGAGGGAGTTTCCCCTCCTTCTTATTTGTTTAATAGTTTCCATCTCCATATTTGGAGTAAACAAGTAGGAGACTCTCTCTTTTTTCTTTCTGTTTTCTAATTGTTAACTGAGTGAATGGAAAGTACCTGTCTAATGAACTACACATTGAAAACTCCCGCTCCCAGGTGTGGACTGTCCATTGGGGCCCACAGAATTAGCTAAGCAAACCAGGACCCAAGTTGGAAAATTACAAGTGTCCTAGATCTGCAAACCAGGAACTTTTGAGAGACCACAGGCATAATCCAGAACTAAAAAACTGATTCTTGTAAATACAATCTCACTATAGGTAGTTCTTTAAATGGAGAGAATTGGCTCTTGCTCAGCTTCATTCTTTATTTCTTTCTTAGTTCCAAGCTTGAACAGCTCTAGTTTTGCTTTCCATGGTCTTTAAGAAAGGGCCTGAAACAGGTAAGAATAGGAATGAGGACTTGAATTTAGAACACAAAAGGCACATACTCAGGCTCTGATTAGTGACTATCCAATGGAGGCAGTGAATTTGTGTATTTTCTAGAACTTATTTGACAGTCCTAAGGAATGCAGCCACCCTTGAGAGAGAGTGCAGTGCTACATTAAAGGGAAAAGAGACAATTCATCATCCAGATGAGTGTATAAATACATCCTGTATTGTAAAATAGCTATCACATCAGTTTCATCACATTAAGTTGGATGTTAATGGAAATTACAGGGTTAAATAAAAATATTTTATGCAAAAATAATGTAATTTTGTGAAATTGATGATACACTGAGTTTTTAATCTCTGTTGTTCAGTGTTAATGTATTCAAATGAATGTATGCTAAATGAAAACTACTCTGTAGTAAGGGAAATAAAACAAAACTCGGCAATCTGTTACAGGAAATTTTGATGCCCTTTAGGAAGAAAGACTTCAATGCTTTGTTTTATGAAGCACATACAAATACATTCATCAGATTCTGGTTTTATGGAGTCACTGAAAAATAAGCATAGAGCCATTTATCAGCACTTTCCAGTTGTGAACAATTCTGGATATCAAAAATTTATCAAAATCAAATACACAGTATCCTAGCTGTAAGACTCTGATGAATTTGAACAGAGATAATACGTGAAGAATTTAAACAGAGATACAATGTTTCAGAAGAAGATGACTTGATTAATTCCTGTTTCTGTTTGTGTTTCTGTCTTGCATTGAAATTTCTGACAGCTAATTTTTCATCTGTGGTAATGAGAGCATATAAAATTCACAAATAGTCTAAAGTAATGTTACAGCTGTAACATAACATTCAGTCCACACTTCCTATCACCTGATTCTTTTTGTTTCAAGTAGGCCATAAATTAGAAGACTTAATTTTCTTTTATTTTTTAAAGATTTATTTATGCATACAAGAACTGGGGTATACACCAGAGGTGTGGGGGTGGTGAGAGGATTCACCAGAGACAGAGTGGGGAATAGAACAGGTAGATTGACTGAAATACACGGATGAGTGGAGTAGTGGTTGAGTCAGGAGAGGTCTGCTGCGCCATGTGGGTCACCTACCAGGCCAGATCAAACTCTTACTGCATTGTTCTAGATAGCTTCATAGTGCTGCGAGATGATGGAACTTTCTTCCCTACTCCTTTAACCTTAATTTTTCACTAATACACTTCATGGTTTAAAGTGAATCAATTATAGGTATATAGCAGGAGTGAGAGAGAAATCTGAAGGACTGCTCCTTTTAGTGTGGATTCACACCTTTACTAGATTTTTTGGTTGAAATTATTGAACTCATAGCTAAAACCATACTCATATTTTATATTGTTTCTTTCTGAAGTGGGGATCTGAGGTATTCAATAGGTTTTTAAGCAAATGTTTACAAATTCTCTAAACTTGTACAGCTTTTAGGATATGATGAATAGTCCAACTAGTAGGCTGTATTATAGTTGCTACAACTTCTGATTTTTTCCAGTGATACACGATAGAAGCTATTGGAAGTTACTTTTCGCTGAAATATCACATAAGGTAGTGTTCCTCAAACACTAGACTGAAGACTGCAACATAATCACCTACAGATTGATTCCTCAGTTCTATTTCAGGAGATTCTGAATTTGTAAATCTGATAGGGTGCCCAGTAATATGTATTAGAGCAATATCCTCAAATGACTCTCACACACCCTGAAGTTTAAGAATCCCACTATATGGGTTAATACAGAGACTCCTCAAAGGTCTCATATGTACTTATTGACAAATTCCAGTGTCAGGTACAAATTCAAAGAAAAATAAAGTGCTGCAGTCAATGTCCCTTTCCTTGGTGATTAACTTCTTAAGATGTTAATGTAATTTTGGGAAATATATGGTTAAAGTTAAATTCTTTACTGGAGGAATTTCCAGAAGGTGAAATAGGCCAACATGCAATTAAATTCTTCAAAGGAAAAAGCCTTTATTCAAGGGATATCTCACACACTAATTTTCCATACAGCTGAGCAAGTACCATTTTATATATGTGTAAACGTGTAAACTGAAAACTAGGTAGGTGAGGAGACCAACCTCACTTCTTCAAGAAAATTACCAGGCAGGCATGCAAGAATCAGAGTTCTGATTCTTCTCTACCACCTCATAACAGTGATAGCTTTTTGGTTTCAAATAACAGCCAGACCATGATTTCCATAAGTAAAAATGAAGTTATTGAAAAGAAACTGGGAGCTCACAGAATGAGAGACCAGGGTTGAATAGGCCACAAACCAAGGGAAGCATAAGCAGTAGCAGTAAGTGTCCAGCAAGAAAAAAATTTTTCTCATCATCCCTTCATCTTGGACCACTTGCTCAACATTCATAGTTGTGGTTGGGATTGTCTGATTTCCAGAACTTTAATCGCGTATCAGTCCCCTGGCTTTTCAGTGGGAAGAATGGAGGAGTCTTTGCTTTTGACTGTGGAAACAGCAAAACACAATGGCTGGCAGGGTAAGGGGGAGGGGCAAATGAATGGAAGGGGAACAGAGGATTCTTAGGGTAATGAAACTACTCTGTATAAGTCTACAGTAACATTCTTATATACAAGAGGTGATATATATCATTTTGCATTTGTCAAAACTTACAGGATATGAAACAATAAAAGTGAACCCTCTATAAACTGGAATTTGCATGATGATGATGTGTCAGTGTCAATGTGGGCTGATCAGTTATAACAAATAAACCACTGTGGTGCAGGATGTTGAAAGTGGAGAAGGCTATGTGTGTATGGGGCCAGGGGTTATGTGGAACTTTCCATTCAATTTTTCTGTGAACTACCTTAAAATAATACAGCCTCTCTCACACACCACTCTGTCTCTCACACATACCCCACTACCAAATAAGATTATTGTGAGAATCAAAGGGGAGATCTATTGATTCTTTGAATGAAACTTGTTAGAATTCACCATATATTATCCCAAGGGATCTTTTAGTGCTAATTTATATGATTTTAATTTCATAATATAAGCCACATTGAACATACATAAATACTTATTTCAGGACTTGCATATAATCATAAAATAACATCTAATGTCTTTACTTTTGCTGAATACAATACTTTACTGTGACTTTATAATTCTTTATGCACGTTAATAGAGGTAATGTACATGTCCTAGCATTCTTTATGACCTAGCATTCTTTTTTTTTTTAATGTGTGTAACCACATTTATGTATTTATTTTTAAAGATTTATTTATTTATTTATTTATTTATTTATTTATTTATTTATTTATTTATTTATTTATACACACAGTGGGTACAGTCAGAAGCGCAGGAGGGTGAGAGAATTCACCAGAGCCAGAGCGGGGAGCAGAACAGGCAGACTGACAAAGTACACTGCTTAGGGTAGCAGCGGACGCTACGGGAGAGGTCTGTGCGCCATGTGGGACCCTTGCGGGTGGCCGGGGATCAAACCAGCACTGCAGAGGCTGTGGGCAGCTTCGCAGCCCAGCGCTTAACCACTGCTCCACTGGGGTGCCCTGACCTAGCATTCTTTATGACCATCTAGTTTTATGTCTTCAAACAAAAGTGTTCCACAACCTTAAGTTATCTTTGTACACTTTGATATAAAACTAGATGACAGCTTCACTTATTTACACATGATTAGGACAACATACTCAATACTGCCTTTTATGT